TAAAGACATGGTTAATTCAATACAAAGTGAAATGCTTGTATTTTAAATATGGACCACAATCTCACCAGTTTAGATTGGTGCATCTCAGCTGAATAGAGTGAAATTTTAGGAAGCATCACAATATTATATAAAATAGTCTTTGTGAAGGGTGTGGTCTACAGGGAATAAGTTACAAGAGTGAAAGAATAAAATAAAGATGAACAATTAACTACCCAGTTGTGTTTAAGCCAACATCTGTAGCTTTTATTAGAATGACAATGATTTTAAATACAGTAATCCAAAAATCAAACAAAAAGAGGGTTTTAGGAATGTACAATACAGCAGGAGAAGAAAGACAAAAAGTGAAGATGTGAAGCTGTCTGATTTGTATGGGGATTCTGATTTCAGGTCATTTTAAGTGCTTTCCCAGGACAGTCCTAACACAGATTTTCAATATTAGCCACAACTTCCAAGAAAAAGAACACATATACAAATCTTATACTATTTGAGTCCATCACATACATTCTTATTAAAACCTATCTACCTTGTAGATGAAGACCAAATATGTCAGTTTTCAACTAATGCTCTAGGGGGGGCTAAAATGTCTAAATCGTTAGGAGCAAAAATGGCTGTAGACATATACTAATTCAAATAAAGAGGATAACTGGAAAAATGCAAAACCAAAAGCTCCCTTCAACCTCACTCACTTTGTTGTCACAAATGTACCACGCAGTCATTTGAGGTCTAATAAAAATCTTTTACTTATTACAGTAGGGCTAAATATGCTACCTAAAGGAGAAGGGTTCTTTTGTTTTTTAACTGTGGTCTCCCTAAGATGCCAACATTAGGAATTAGGTGCTCAAGACAAGCCTTTACAAAATACTTGCATAGAGGATTGTCGTTCAGGGACCAGAAATGAACTTGATTTAATATCCAGCAGTCAAAATGAAGCCAAGTTTTTAGTGGTATAGAGAATACCTTATTCAATATCTATCTTAGCCATAACTATAAATTTCTGAAAGACAAACAGATTTATGATCATACCTGACTGTGGGTTCTCACTACACAGAAATTGTAGCAGGTGTAATAAGACAGACACTTCACATCAAGTTCACTTTTCTTTAGTGAGGCCTAACCTTCCTTTAGTGAGGAGTGAAGGAATGAATCCGTTCATTCAGAGTTGAGGTGACTGAGAAACATCCTTTGGCTTGGAAGGGTGGAGACTGAGTGCTTGAGCTTCATGTTTCTTCTGTGCCAATTCCCTTATTTCCTAGGTGTAGAAAATGGGACAGGATGGATAAGCCATCTGTCTGCATGCATTTGGGTAGGGGGCAAGTCTATGAATGCCTTCTATGACTCCATTTGCACATCTGTGACTAAGAACATTGAACTGCACTAAACATTCTATTCACTTATGTTCCAAAGTAAAAAAAAAAAAAAAAAAAAAAAAGTGTTTATCAAGGAATCAAGGAGTGATTACTAAATATCATTTTGGTCATGGTTAAGAATTGTGAAAATTATCTAATAGCAATGTTAGGTACTAATGATTATGCTCACATTTCTTGAATATGAATTTTCTGACTGAAATTCCAACAGTGTAAGTATTATTCCAACCACCATTGCAGAAATAGGGAAACTAAAGCTTAGAGGATTTCATTAAATTACACAAAGTCAGAGACCTAGGGTTTCTTTCACTGGGATTTTCAGGACACACTGCTCAGTTATGTTATGCTCTTCAGGACTACATAACTGTCCTCTGCCCTGCCCCCCCATTACAAACTACCTTTTGGACGAGAGAGCAGAGAAGTGTGATGCTTAAACAGGGGTAGGGTTCAAGCCCATTGTTTATGTTTATTTTTGAAGGCTAGATATAATTGTTAAAAAATGTTCTTTGTTCATCCTCAAAAATGGTGACCATAAATCATGATGAACCAATGAAAGCTGCAACTGCCATCTGAATCAGTGCCCTTGTCACACTGCATTGTGATTTTTTATTTATCATGCTTACGCACTGCAGTGTGATTGTCTAGAAGGACACAGTTTTGCCATATCAATGCCTGGTTTATAATAGCTGCTCAAGAAATATTTGAATAGGGGCGCCTGGATGGCTCAGTCAGTTAAGCGTCTGCCTTTGGCTCATGGCAAGATCCCAGAATCCTGGGATCCAGCACCACACACTGAGCAAGGAGCTCAGTGGAGAGTCTTCATCTCCCTCTGCCTGCCACTCCCCCTGTTTGTGCTCTTTCTCTCTCTCTCAAATAAATAAAATAAAATAAAAAGAAATACTTGAATAAGTGAACAATTGTAGAATCAAATCCTTCCCTAGAACTAGATGACAAACATGATCATCATATTCATCGGATTTCATCATCTGTAAGTTTTACTAGGTTTTATGGTTGATTTTTGTTCCTTAAATTTTTACCTCAACTTTAAAAAAAATCTTATAGTACAACTTTCTGTAGTATAAATATTTTATGATATTATTGTTTAAAACTCTCTTGGAATAAACTCAATTTAAACTCCAGCCAATTGGAAAGACCACTTAGAGAAATAATTAATTTTTAGAAGTACCCAATTAACCTTGTTAATATTTGGAATATATAAGCTGTATAAAGAATGTCTGGTGTCATTTGTATGGGAGGAAAATTTAAGGGAAGAAACACAAATTTGGGGGTAATACCTGTCATAATGAGATATATTCAGTTTTGCTCAAGGGCAAAGTGGGAATGTTCCTCTTCCACCCTGAGGCATTATCTCTGGAATCCTTATAAGACTGACTTGGCTCACTTAACTATGGTAGAATTAATTGCCATAAAGTTATACAGATCTTTTTTTTTTTTAATCCAGGTACACCTAGTGCTGAAGTCTTTGGTAAAATGAATTCTCAATAATGGTAATGCTTCAGCCTTCTGAGAGTCATGCTCCTTTATTATTTTTTTTCCAGAAAATTGTAGTTGTTTGTCACAGTAATTTCTTATTTCTATATATGTCCACCACTTGAGCATCTACACTCATGGACTGATATTATAATACAATTCAATTATGCTAGATAGTTGGAATTATAAGATCATTTCATTTGTCAACCCATTATGGCTTAAAACCAAACCAAACATAATAAAACCTAACATAACAAAAAAGAAATCATGAGTCAACAAACAACTTCTATCCTCTAGTTTCAACAATTTCTTACAGATTGGATAATAAATCTTTAAATTCAGAGTGGGACTCAAATAACATGAATTGACTGACAGCTGAAATGCTAATAAACGCTGATAAGAAGTAAAGTTTCTGGGACGCCTGGGTGGCTCAGTTGGTTAAGCAGCTGCCTTTGGCTCAGGTCATGATCCCAGTGTCCCGGGATGGAGTCCCACATCGGGCTCCTTGCTCATCAGGGAGCCTGCTTCTCCCTCTGCCTCTGCCTGCCATTCTGTCTGCCTGTGCTTGCTCTCTCTCCCTCTCTCTCTCTCTGACAAATAAATAAAATCTTTAAAAAAAAAAAAGAAGTTTCTATAGCTACCATCCAGGTATGGAACATGATTATACTTGTGAAAAAATCAAAATGAAAATGAATCATAATGACAAAAATGAAAGTCTAGGACATCTACTTTAGATAGTTGGGCTGATATTTTAAAAATGCCTTTCTGAGCCTTTTAAAGAAAATAAAAGATATAAATGTAATTTATAATTTTAAATGGCCAACAATTTTTCTTGTTAATGATTTTGCTTTTGATTTTACAATCTGACACAATTACACTAGTTTTCTATACAACAGTGAAGATGCAGTTGAGGACAGTAAGCCTTATCAAGCTAAAAGGGTAAAGTACTTATCTTGTATGTAATTAATTAATTGAACTTCAGTTCTATTTTTGATTGATTAAAACACCGTTTCTTTATCCCCTGGCTTCATTGATTTCTATGATTCACTGGATTCTTCTACTTCAGGACACCCTGATTTTCATTGCCTGATGGTTTTCCATCACCCATCTATCTATGCACATACACACATTTGACATTACCACTGCTGCCAATCTTCTACCTGTACTTTTATTATGATAATGTTAACTAACATTATTATATGCTTATTATTATTAAACTCTACACTAAATTTTTGATAGCATCACCTCTCTAAATGATTACATCAGCAGGAGGTAGAAGTTACTATTTCCATCATTTTGTAGGTGAGCATCATATGTGTTGGTTGGAATTCTTATGTTTTGTTGTGTTTTGATTTGATTTTGGTTTTTCAGTAATCTGTCCTATGGTTTGGGATTTTAAACCTTCATGCAGCAGTGATAATTGTAGTTGTTACTGCTTGAATTACCAGACTGGTGAGGATTAATGTGATCTCGGTGACCTATGATATTTGAGTCATTAAGTAGGAAGCCATGATGGAGGACCATTTTGGGAAATAATGTTGGATCACAAAGGGATTATTTCCAAAACATATTATATTAGAAATGTGTATTTCCTTGATTGCTGCTTATGTTTTGCACAAATGGATTAGGTTTATAGATCTTAATTTAAAATTATAAGGAAAACACACACAATAAGAAAGTTCGTTCCAAATAATTATATCGTTCTATTTGAAACTGAGCAGGGAAGTCTTTATAGCAATTAGAAATAAATGAAGCTTGGATCTGATATATCTTATTGATATAAGAACACATTTCTGAGAAACAAAATCATGACGCTACATACATAAACCAAGCATTGATGTTGGCACACTGTATTTGTATGCTCATATTACCTTTTGGTGTGAGAGATTTGGCCTTTGATGTGTTAATTTTATTGGTTTGAGGGGAGTATTTACTACTCCACCAACATTCATTTACTATTTACTTCAAATACACTTGATGGTTTATAGTTTCTAATGAGACATTTTCTCTAAATGGATTCTACCATAATCATTGGAGCTTTGGACTGACAAGATATTAGGGTGAATATACAGTCCCTTGCTTTTTATCTTCACCTTTGATAAAGGTAAAATGTGTTCTCATCTTACAGGAAGTGTTCCTTTTTACATGATACCCTCCAAGATGATGAGTTCTAATCCTGAGGAAGACCCTTTGGACACATTTCTCCAATATATTGAGGATATGGGGATGAAGGCCTATGATGGCTTGGTTATTCAGAATGCATCAGACATTGCTCGAGAGAATGACCGCTTGAGAAATGAAACCAACCTGGCCTACTTGAAGGAGAAGAATGAAAAACGCCGGAGACAAGAAGAAGCAATAAAACGGTAAATATAAACAAAGTATTCTGAATCTTGTATACACAAGGAAATCGGTCAATTCTGCAAAGCCTATGATGTTATCACCTGGTCAGGAAGTGTGTTTACCACAATTAGGCTGGGTGAGACCGTGAAATTGGCACCTCAACTATAACAGAAACACAATTCATCCGACTCACAGGACTCTTGCCTTAGTTAACAAAAGTTATTTACTGGTGTGTTGTGCATATGGAAGTACATCTGGGACTGGGAAAGAATTCAGTTTTCTCTAATAAAAGCTCATACAAAACAACCTCTTGATAAAAGCCCAAGGGAACACATAAACATTTTCAGAGTCGATGTTTGATGAAAGACTCCACCTTAGTTAATGGTCTTTGTTTATAGTTCTTACTTTATAATAGTGCATCTTCTTAGATTATAAAAAGACTCATCGATAATTAGAATCATATGAGTCTCTGAAGGCAGGGGGAACCCTCAGTGTGCTCTCTATGCAGTTTTATGACTATTACATATCTTGTCTGGTACCAAGTGCCCCAGGTTTGTTGAAATGAAATGACTTTTATACTGCAAAACCTACAGCTACAAGCAAATAAATGCCAGATTACAGCTTCCAAATTGAGGCTAAATTTCCTGGGGCACTGAAACCCAAAGAAGGATATACATCTTTTGATTTTCCAAAGAATGTCATAGTGTTTCCGGCATATGTGTTTATGTGTGTGTGTGTGTGTGTGTGTGTGTGTGTGTGTGTGTGTGTGCACAGACAGTAGGGGTACTGGTAGAGGCATATTGTGTTATACAAAGTCTTATTTCTTCAATAATGTCTATTTACTAAGTGCGATGATTCAAAATTTGGAAAATTAATCCATATCAATTAGCTGGATACTAAATAATATTAGTTAAGCTATTTGGATATTTGGTGGATTTTTCATCTAGTCGGACATTAATAATTTGCTTAGTCCTGTGAACAAACAATATGATATTAGGGAAAAGAAATTATTATTTTAATGAACTATTTATTCTTATAATGAAACTAGATAAGGATGCACTACTTTAATCATTTAATGGCAAATAACTTCATATGAGAGGTTTGAGAGAGAGAGAGAATTGGAAACCAAAAAAGGAATTGTTATAGAGAATTATTCTGAAAGAGTGCTATCTTTTTATTTTGGACTATTAAAATGGAAATCTATGCATCACCAGGTATAAAAATGTTTGCGAAATTACATATTTGATAAACATTGTTGTGACTGCATACATTTAAGCCAATATGTTGTTGGGGACTATGTTATTTTTTTATTTCTACCCAATTTTAGTTGGTATCAATGATTCCCTTCTAGAATATACTAAACACCCTTTCTTCAGGACAATTTTTCCCTTTGGGGAGTAATTCAGATGGACTTCTGTGTGTATGCAAGCATTTTGCTTTTATGAGACTGGGTTTTCTAAAATTCATAACAAAAAGGATAACCCACATTGTTTTCTAAAACAGCTTCATCTCTAAAATGAAAGTTTTCCTGATTTTGGCATTAAAATTCAATCATTCATTTTTTCCTTTAACCTTAAAAATAGAATTATCTGCAGAAGTTTCATTAGATTTTTCAAAGTACTTAAGTGTGCTTATCACTGTGCTATTAACTTCTGTCTTTCATCAACAACCTTTAGAAGGGTTCTATCTAAAGATATTAAGACAGTGGACTGATCTTCAAATTGAATTCTGACTCCTCCCTGAAATAAGGATTAGACAAAGAGATTTAATCCTGGTCATAAGAAATGACACTGATCCAGGTCAGATAGATAGGACTCCTCACATCTGAGGTCAAGATGATTCAAGGCCAGAGGCAAACAATGAATGTAATAGGCACCATGACTGCTGATCTCCAAACTACAGTGTACGTTTCATGAGCAGAAAGATCCTTTTTCTATACAGTTCTTCCAGCAGGATCTAAAGCAAGTCTATTTTTCAATAAACATTTGCTGTTAAGTGTATTAATTGATTGGAGAAATACATCTTAAAATTTTGCTAAGTGCCAGGCAGTGTTCAAGACCTTGAGGTGACAGCAATGAATAGAACAAAGTTCCTGATACAAGGAAGCTACATTCTAAGAGAAGCAACAACACTAAACATAATTATATATAAATAAATATAACAGGTGGTAAAACAAACTTGGTAAAGGAGATAAAAACAGAGCCCAGGGAAGGCTCCTTAAATGATGTTTCAGACATTGGAAAAGTGCTGCCCAAAATGTGAGGTGTGTGGCTATTGGCGGGAAGAGAATATTAGGCAGAGGGAATAGCAAGTTTGATGTGTTCCAAGCAGAGGACAGAGTGTCACACAGTGACCAAGGCAAGGAGTGGGGGGATGTAAGTCTAGACTGGTAGAAGGCCACCAGATAATGGAGAGCTTTATAAGTTTTTGTGTTTTATTCTGAAGGAGAAAACAAAATTTGCTGAAGATTTTTGAGCAGAGGTGTAACCTGTTTTAACTGAACATTTTTATTGGGGTTACTCTTGCTTCTGGGTTGAATAGATGGTTGGGGTATGGCTAAATGTAGGAAGTCCAGAGAGACAGCCTTTGCAGTAATTGGGGTGAGAGATGATGGTGACTTTGACTTGGGTGGTAATAGAAAAGGTGGTATAAAATGATCAAATTATCGGCACTGTCAAAATTTTCTCATGATGAGATAGAGGAGTTGAGTAAGAGAAAAATAAAAACAAACAAAAAGATGGCTTTCAACTTTGTTTTTCTGTTGTTTTATGTGCATGTGTGCATATGCGTTTTGCTTTGCCTTTTGCCTGAAACATGAGAAGAATGATGCTTTCATTTAATGAAATGGCAAAGACAAGATGAGAAGTTTGAGCTAATTGTTGAAGGAATAAAAGCTCAGCTTTGGTATCCCAGTTTTGTGAGCCTTTTTGGATGTTCAAGTGGAGAATCTGGATCAGGATTTATGGTAAGATCGAAGCTAGAGATATAAATATGAGGGTCATTATAGTCTATAGATTTCAAGGCCTGAGTCTAATTGAGTACACTTAGAATCTAAAATTAGGGAGGGTTGGAAGAAGCACCCCTGACCCTTCCCTGGGGCACCTGAGTGCTTACATGATAGGAATAGTAGAAGAATCCAGGAAGAACAGCCATGAGAGAGGGGGAAAACCATGAAGGAAGGTGATAACTCAGAGTGAAGTCAGAAAGGTGATTAAAGAAGATAGATTTTAATGACTGGATCAGCTAAGTTCAAACCTGAGAATTGATGCCTCTTCCCACATTGGTGTTATTGATAAGAACAGTTTTGGTGAAGGTCTAGGGACAAAATCCAATGAGATTATATTCATGAGAGAGTGGGAAGAAAGGAAGTGAAGCAGAATATAGAGAACTATTTTGAGGGCTTTAAAGCCTAAAGAAATTCAAAAATATGGAGAGTGGTTGCAGTGGAAAGTGGGGTCTTTGGTACTTTGTTTTTCTATATATTTCCTTTAAGAAGAGAGAAAACTAGCTTATTTAAACTGCTGATATGAATGATTACAATAGAACGGGAAATGCTAATGGCTTAGGAACAAAAAGGAAAAATTACTGTGATTATGGACTTGAGTAGGCAGGAAGGTTTAGGATGTAAGGCATCTTAGAAAAAAAACATAGACTGTTCAGCCATCATAGGAGAAAAGATGGCCCAAGGTAAGGATGGCTGAGTGAGACTGAATGAATGACTAACCATCAGGCAAGGTCCTGAACCTGGTTCATCTTATTCCAAACACTGCTGTGTTACTGTTTCTGTAGCTGTTCATGTGATAGGATTTGAAGATGTGGTATGTGTCCCTCTATCGGTAACTCTACACACTCTTTCCCAGGCCCACGCCTCCACATGTTTTTCTGGAATCCTAATTTAAAGTGTAAATATCTTTGGAAAGGACAAAATGCTAGCAAAACCTCCTAAATTGTTAAGACTTCTAAATGTCTTTCTTTCCCAAAAGCATGGCCCATGTACAACATGCGGATATATGGATCTCTGGATATTGTTGGGGGTTGGGGTTTGAGAGAGAAATATCAGCAGAGCCAAAAATTCAATGATCAGACAGGAGGAGGGGCCCAAAGATCTCACATGACTCTGTGCTAGGGCTAACTGTGGTTCTCATAAGTTATCCCCTCTCAGTGTCCATTGTAATATCCAAATCAACCTTCTTTTGTTCATATGGTGACCAGTATTTTGGGATTCTGACAATCGAAAGCACAGTGATCTTTTACTTTTTCTTGTAGTACATTTTTGGAATTACTTCAATTTTTTTAATAGAAAATATGCTTTTAATATTTTTTAAAACCTCCTAGCAAGATTCTGGTCATGCAAGCATTTTGGGGTTTCAGGGTTGGCAGCAAAAGCAGAATACTCACATCTAAATTTAACATATATTTTAATATTTTTAACATGTAATTTATGTCCAGTTGTAAACAAAATTCTATATGACATTAATTAACATAGCTTAATCAATTAAAAGTCTTTAACATGTCTGCTGAATGCCTTCTTAAATATATGCTGTGATTTAATATATGGGATATAAATGCTGAAAATCTAAAGATGGGGCATGTTTGACCTTGAAAAGGCATTGATGATAATTCTCTGTGAAATATGCCAGTTGCAATTTCAGAAATGTGCAGACTGCCAAGGATTGCTTAAAAAATGGAAATAGGATTTCATATGATTGACCTTCTGGATCACATATGTGCCGAAATGCCTTTTGTGCTGAAGCTGGGAGGCTTAAAACACTGAGCTCTCAGAAAAAGAATATCCTCATCACTTTCTCAGTGTTGTAAGTCACTTAAGCTTTCTGAGTCCAATTCCTTATTTTTAAACTAACTTGAGCCCCCTGTCACTCTTAACTTTCTGGTATCTTTACTTCCGTTTCTCAAATGGGATTTTATTAAAAGGCTTGTGGGAAAAATTCTAAATAAATAAAAACAGTGATCCTGTTAGTGCTTTTTTTTTTTTTAGCAGCCCCAAATAACATTTGATGAGAAA